ATCACCAGGAAACCATTGCGTCTGCAGATGCAGTCTCGTCAGTTCCGACTTCAAACCCCGCCGGTCCGTTGGAGGAGCCTAAGGGGCACGCTAGGAAACTTGATGAGGGGGCTCAAGTCTTAATTGACGAGAATACGCCCCCGCAATGTGAGTGTGATCCTGCCCTGTCCACAATTTTGATCGTTCCAGCTGGCCAGCCTTTACCTCCTGGGATTAAAACAGGACTACAGATTGATGCGGCGAACAGTTCCTGGTCAACATCTGCACGACTCGCAGCTGAAGAAAATAAGAAAGCACCCACGAGAACGGTTGAAGAAATGGTACCATCAGTTTACCACAGACACTTGCATATGTTTGTTAAGTCAAAGGCCCAGAAGCTACCACCCCGAAGACAATACGATTTCAAGGTTGACCTAGTACCAGGAGCTGAACCTCAGGCCAGTCGTATCATCCCCCTATCACCTGCTGAAAATGATGCTCTGGAGGAGGTGATCAATAATGGATTAGCAAACGGCACAATTTGACAAACTACTTCACCATGGGCAGCCCCAGTACTTTTTGCTGGAAAGAAGGATGGAAACTTACGCCCATGTTTTGACTATTGTAAACTGAACTCATTGACAGTAAAAAACCGGTATCCACTGCCCCTGACCATGGATCTTGTTGATAGCCTCTTGGATGCTGACGAATTCACGAAACTGGACCTCAGGAATGCCTACGGAAACTTACGTGTAGCTGAAGGTTACGAAGATATCCTAGCGTTCATATGCAAACACAGACAGTTCGCCCCGCTGACAATGCCTTTTGGCCCCACTGGGGCACCGGGGTATTTTCAATTCTTTATGCAAGACATCCTACTAGGACGTATTGGCAGAGATGTTGCGGTGTTCCTGGACGACACAATGATTTTCACAAAGAAAGGCCAGAAGCACAAACCAGCAGTAGACTCAGTACTTGAAATACTAGGCAAACATCAACTGTGGCTGAAACCCGAAAAATGCGAATTTTCAAAGAAAGAAGTTGAATACCTGGTCCTCCTGATATCACACAACAAGGTCAAAATGGATCCTACAAAAGTTAAAGCTGTGACTGACTGGCCTGCCCCTAAGAACGTGTCTGAACTCCAACGCTTCATTGGATTTGCGAATTTCTATCGACGTTTCATTAACCAATTCTCTAGGACAACACAACCCCTGCATAACCTTACACGAAATGACACCAAATTCAATTGGGACAAGAAATGCCAAAGCTCATTCGAAAGCCTGAAAGCCTCATTCACAACTGCACCAGTCTTGAAGATCGCGGACCCGTATAAGGCGTTCATCCTAGAGTGTGATTGCTCGGATTTTGCGTTAGGTGCCATCCTCTCGCAGAAATGTGAAAAAGACGGTGAGATACACCCCGTGGCTTATCTATCGAGATCTCTAGTACAGGCCGAACTCAACTACGAGATCTTTGATAAGGAATTATTGGCGATTGTGGCTGCCTTCAAAGAGTGGCGACACTACCTTGAAGGCAATCCAAACCGCCTCGAAGTCATTGTGTATACGGATCACAGGAACTTAGAGTCATTCATGAGTACAAAGCAACTGACGAGGAGGCAAGCACGTTGGGCTGAAACGTTAGGATGTTTTGATTTTACCATCAAGTTCAGACCCGGACAACAAGGAGCCAAGCCTGACGCACTTTCACGAAGACCAGACTTAGCCCCCAACCAATCAACTAAATTGACGTTCGGACAATTGGTTAGACCTGAGAACCTAACTGAAGATTCATTCACAGAAATCGCAAGTTTTGAAACATGGTTTGAAAATGAAGTAATTGACTTAGAAGACTCGGAAAAATGGTTTGAGATTGATGTATTAGGTATGTCGCAGAATAGTGAAGTGGAAGAAGCAGACGAGACAATTTTATCAGATAACGAAATCATTGAGAAGATCCAGGAGGCGACCCAGGCATGCGACAGACTCACCGAAATCATCAACACTGTTAAGAATCCTATATCACTCAAACTCAAAGAAGCAGTGGCTGATTACAAGGTTAAGAACGGTGTGGTATACAACAAAGGCAGGATTGAAGTACCCAATGATGATCACATCAAATTGCAGATATTACGAAGCCGACACAACAGCTTGATCGCTGGTCATCCAGGAAGATCAAAAACACTCAGCCTTGTCCGTAGGTGTTTCACTTGGCCAAGCATGAAGACGTACATTAACCATTATGTTGATGGATGTGATTCATGCCTGAGAGTGAAAACATCAACACAAAAACCGTTTGGAGCGTTGGAACCACTGGCAATCCCGGCTGGACCCTGGACAGACATTACCTACGACCTTATCACGAAATTACCGGTGTCAGATGGGAAGGACAGTATTCTGACAGTGGTGGATAGGTTGACGAAAATGGCTCACTTCATCCCTTGTAAGGAAAGCATGTCATCAGACGAATTAGCTGACATTATGGTAAAAGAAGTTTGGCGACTTCATGGAACACCGAAGACAATTATATCAGATAGAGGGACAATTTTTATTTCACAACTGACAAAAGATGTCAACGGTAAGAGGTTTTGCTGCGCAGAACCTCTATCGCATTGACAAATAAAACCTACTAAAAAACATATAAAAACATATTCTACTTTGTTATGAAACATACAACGCTTAATCACTCAGTATCAAGACTGTATACACTAAAAATAATCAAGACCGTACCATTCCAAAGAAATGAGAAAGGGACCTACCTAAACCAGTTCATAAAGAAACGACTACCTGATGGCTAGTAACATCATGACCCTGAAAACCTAGTCAGGGAACATCGAAACCCTGACTAGGCAAGTAACCCTTACAACGATGATTACCAAACAGACCAAGAAACAAATGACCAGTTTAGCCCCTCTTTACAGAACGAACCCTTACCAAAATAATAGACGAAAATCAAAGCTTAAACTACTATATAAATCGGTACCTTCTACCCTAAAGAAAAAAGGACCATCTTATCATCCAGCCACCAACTTACGATTAACCAACTTATATCAAATTTCACCTATTGTTTTTTCATCTCGAGAATCAATAGATTTCATTTATCCTCTTCATACTTACTTCGAAACCCCGAAATAGTCATTTTCTTTTAGAACTACCAATCTAGATAGCTCTTTAAATTTGAAACTTTTATTTCCTCATTGAAGCTTGTTTTTCTCTTATCTCTCTTTACTTTCTAGTATCTTTAAAGATCGTTTAGCCAGCGCTATTCTACTGAAGATCCTATAGTTATATTTTGTTTGATAGAACTAGAAAAGTTCGTCACTACTGCTAAAGCACGCCTAAAGCCAGTTTACTTCGGTATCCACTTTAGTAGACAAGCTGGTTAAAAAGCTTGTATTCATCTATCGCAACCAATCCTCACGAAGATTCGAAATTTGGAGCCTTCACCTAGAAAAAGTGATCTAGTTCACATTTCGTGAGTCATCTCAAATTAACAAACTTATACCTTTCTCTCGAGAACAGTAGCCAGTCTATACTCTCAGGCTGACAAAAGAACTCAACTCAAGATTAGGTATCAGATTACAACCCTCAACAGCATTTCACCCGAGGACTGACGGACAATCAGAAATCGTGAACAAAGCAATCGAACAATATCTGCGTCACTTTGTGTCATATAGACAGGACGACTGGGAGGCTCTAATCCCCACAGCTGAGTTCTCTTATAACAATAAAGATCACGCGTCAATTGGTGTCTCCCCCTTCAAAGATAACTACGGCTACAACCCCAATTTTGGAGGAGTACCCATGGGCGAACAATGTATACCAAAAGTAGAGGAACGTCCGAAGGTATTGGCTGAAGTACAATCCGAGCTCAAAGAATGTCTGGAAATAGCTCAAGAAGAGATGAAGTTACAATTCAACTGTCACATCAGGCCAACACCGGATTGGAACATTGGCGATCAAGCGTGGCTGAATAGCAAGAACATTTCGACAACCAGGCCAAGCCCCAAATTAGACCACCAATGGCTAGGTCCTTTTCATATTGTCGAAAAGATATCCCGTTCAGCTTACAAACTTGATCTTCCTGTCTCTATGAAAGCCATACACCCGGTATTCCATGTATCATTGCTACAGAAACACAAACATGACAAGATTGAAGGAAGACAACTAAAAGAACCTGAACCAATAGTTATAGAAGGACACACCAAATGGGAAGTGGAGGAAATATTAGATTGTAGAATTCAAAACAAATCACGTGAGTACTTGGTGAGCTGGAAAGGATTCAGTGCTAAAGACAACTCTTGGGAGCCGTTGAGGAATTTGAAGAACAGCAACGAATTGATCAGAGACTTCGACACAAGATTTCCAACAGCAGCAGGAAAATTTAGGAGAAGGCGGAGAAAAAAGTGAGAGGGCAAAGCTTTTTCCCATGCGGTCTTTTAACGCTGCCCGGGGAAAGAATGCAGATCTTGCAACAGGGAGATTGGGCATTAAACGGGGGATAATTTTATGAATCAGGACATGTAGAATGTGTGACATCCACACACATATATCACAGATGGAGAGTGTACACTTGTTGATGCGTCGAAGAGAAGTTGTATTCCCCATCCGACAACCTTGTTATACAAGTAATAAAGACCTGTGGATAGATACCTCACACCTTGCCAGAACCCCCGATACCAGCCTTAACAGTCCGCACATGTCCGTCAAATTCCTGGGGAGACCTATCCCACAGCCGTCCTTGCGGAACTTGAGTGGAGGGATGTGGCTCGGATTCTTTGCAGCCCAAAGCTGATCATAACATTTAATCCTAAAGACGGTTTGCTTACAAAACTCGACAAAATCCACCAAAGTCTCCATCTCCTCAGCCATTGGAGTTTTGGACCAGAGTCAAAAACCTATCACTGCAAATTAATTTGCACTCACCCTCATGTGAAAATCCAACCATCTACGCGCAATGTTGTTACCTCACCCAAAACTCTGCGGAGATTATTACGGTCGCAGATTTGATTGATTGGTATGCCCAACAATGATCATCATTGCTTAACGTCTTTCATTTGGACTCATCAATGTATCCAATCCATTTTTGAGAACGCTATGTGAGTGTCTTGTGTTTTAAGTTTTGACTTGATGACCTTCAGAATTCCTCCAAATCACCCTCAGGCCTCAGCCCAAAGTCTTTTAATCCTAAAGGTATGTTTAGTTCCTTTAAGTTATCATAATTTCCCTTTAGTTTTAGGACTGAATATGGATCCTTCCTTTCATCCTGACTCTGAAGTCCAGTTCCCAAACAGCCCTCACATGTTGATTGTCTCAATTTGGACCAATCACTTCTATACCTTGTTTGTTTGAAATCCATATGGAAGGTGCATGGGCATGGCTTGGTACTATTCTCAATCACATATGATGAAGTGAGCTTTCATCTTTCTCATGATTCATCATTTGATTGCCCTACATACTAGATTTGGACATCCTACAAGTGAGCCGAGGCTTAGTTTTGGACAGCTGGAGAGATCGATCCTTCAAAAGATATGCACAATTGGGAGAATAGGTTGAAAAATGATGAGAAACACTTTATTAAACACATCTTAGCTTTCCTCGCTACTTCGGATAGAATTGTCAACCAGAACTTGATTAAAAGATACAGTGGAGAGGTTCAGGCGGCTGAAGCCCAATGCTTCTATGGCTTTCAGATCATGATTTACGTGTAACACTTTCAATTTCTCTGAATCCCCTCATCGGTGTTTCTTTAATTGACACGTGTGTCTGCCCCTGCTTGAATCTAGAGAGAATAGTCAGTCAGAGGTCTATTTGCCCTTAATCAATACTTTGGTGACACGGCACCAGCTCCCACATCCCCAACAAAAAGTCATTTAATCCTTTATTCACTTGACCTTACCTTCACAAAACAACTCTGGATATAAGTTGATTGGTTTGTTGTGTTGTTGACCTCTGAGCTACAAACCGTCACTCCATACCGTATCCTGTGTTTTAGTTTGTTACTTGGTCTATCTTCTTGGAACTATCTGAAGGTAAAATACAACTTGGTATTGTTCATTTGTTTATTTATCCTCTCTCTCCCTAATCATACAAAAGAACATAATCTGAAACTGATCTTTTGCATTTAACCTCTTGAAGCATAGTACAATCAATTCGGATTAACCTTTTGAAGAATTGTACAATCGATTTGGACCCTTCATCTTAGTTGTAGTTCTGAAACAACTGGAATCGACTTCACATCTAGTGGGGTTATCTGCTCAAGGCAATTTGCAAAGGGATTGTTGCCAAAGATAGTCGTTCCTTGGTCAGTCAGGTGATTCATAAGTGATTGTCAGATCCTCTTACTGATAACTGATTCGTGCTCTTCATCCTTTCATCTATTAATGCTGCGATCTTTTTTCTTTTCCCTCTATTCGGTTTTTTGCCTTATCAAGCTTGCTTCAAAAACATCAACATCATTAACCGTCAATCATTCATCAATGCTCTCTACCATGCAAACAATCAACAACTATACATTGGAACGACCTTTTGGAGGATGTCGAGATATATTTGGCTTCTGTCGTTTCAGTCATAGTTTTGATGCAACTGGAATTGACTTCACATCTAGCGCTATTAAGGTTATCTTCGTCGCTTGCGACCCGCCAAGTGGATCACATATACTTCTCTCGTCTCGCCTCTTGAAGATGAACAACCGATCCGCTGCCATACCAATTCAAAATACCGTCATACAACATACTAAGCTGATCAACAGGCGACAAAAAATCATTTCCTCTTCAAAAAACGCACATCAGAAGGTATCATCTTCACCCCTTCAATTATTGACACAACTGTTGCATCCAAGTAACAATTCATGCTTCCTGATAGGAACATCCGTTAGCTATCATCTCTTTGGAGCCTCAATAATCGATTATCTCATCTTAATCAAATCTATCCCTTATTGTTGACCTTATCGACAGCAAGGCAGGGTACCTTTTGAAGGTTGTCAAAGATACACTTTTTTGTGAAGAATATTGGAAGGCTCCTTTATTGCTGATTTATATGTGGATCCCAGCTCATCACATTGGAAATCACATGGGATCCCCAAGAGTTGTGATGGATCTTCAATCCCGCTATAGAATGATTTGCAACGCCCTTCAATCAAGCAGAAAATCAATCAATCAACTTGTTCACACCAGCTCACACTTCTGCTGCTATACGAAAACAACCTGCTGATAAAGTCTCACTTGAAGTACCCATGACTGTACGTTATTGGCTTTGCATCTCAAGAACTGACATTCATGATGACAATATCCAAAAGCAATCAAATTCAAAAGTAATAAACATTAGAGATATGGTAGGTATCAATTCTTTCATCTCTTCACATCTAAATTCAACCTTCCCCTCTCATTTAACACATGTAGCTGACCCACATCAATTGCAATTCAATATAGGTTGATTGCTTGATCATTCAAATTCAACTCAGGTTAGCAAGTCTTTGCTGTTCAAACAAAGGCAATCATGAAGGATCAAATTCAAGTGTATCACCTTCAACATAATTAGAATAAGCAATAACTATTTTTGATTTGGAAAGGGTATCATTATTATCCTGGATACTGAAGCTTGCTTTATGCATGTTGTTCGAAAGTCTCCTGAATTCAAAAAGCCAGTCATCTTTCAAATATGTAAACAGAGACGTTTTGGAATTATGACCGCTCAATGGTTTACGTTCTGCTTGCAAAACTAAAAAATATCTCGTTTTCTCACACCTTACACTTCATTGAAGGTTCCAACACCTTTTGGTCTATGAGACATAGGCTGGTAGTATCTTTGGAAACATTATTCATTGTCATGAGGATCCAAGCTGATATGACATCCTCAAAACTGTTTGAGTCTCAGGTCTTTGATGCCTGTGCCTCCTGTCAAAATACAATCAAGACTGGAGTCAGGAGTGTCACAAGTGATGAATTATGTTGTTTGGTAAATGTAGTATGGTAGCGTTTTCTCTACTCTGATAGTGGTTAAGAAGTACATGTTGAACATTGTTCCCAATAGACTGTAGTGTACATCATTCCCAACCAATTGTGTTTTTCGTTTTTGTGTTGAGATATAGGTTATTGTTCCCCTTCACTCTTACTCTCTTTCCTTATCTTTCGGAAAGAGAGTAAGTTCATCCACACCTTTTCTCTATACAGCAATTAGCTAATTTAAGCAATGTTGTCAGAATCCGCTTAGATCAACTATCACGAGCATTAGCTTACCTTCCCTTTCTCACTTATTATCATACCTCCACTACTTAGGTACTTCTTCTTTTATCTCTTTATAAAACTTAATCAGGTCTAATTCTTGTTACTGTTACTTTATCTTTTATATCTTTTATTGTATGGTGTGTAGGTTAGTACCCAGTGTCAGCATACATTGGAGTTGGGGAAGAGGTGCTCATCGTAGCGCATCTTATTGTCAGGTTGATTACTACTGTCTTCTTAGACATTTACACCTCCCCTGGTTGCAATACTGTCCACTCAGAAATTGTCTAGACATATCTCTTGTGATGAAATCAAAAGTGGTCAACCTTATCAAATTCAAATTTAATCAAATCTAACTCATCATGATCACCTGAGTGACATTGACTCCAGTCTTCTTTTTTTGAAATGAGTAACACAGCTAAAGATGATTTTGCTCTCATTGAAGTCATTTTGAATACTGCAGAGGATCTGTTCATATTTCAATTGAAAACCAATTGATTAATAGAAACTCAACCCATTAGATCAATTATCATTGTTTGGAATCATTGATCACAATAGTGTGCACCACAAGGAACCAAAGAAAGCAGAAGAGTAAGCATCTGAAATTGAACTGATACTAGCCTTGATTAGAGTCAGTTTCTTTTGTTATGATCATGAACTTATTGATTGAAATATGTAGAAAACTCCATAGCCGTTTTTGCTTTTCATTGTATAAACCATTTTCAACACTGCTCACTAGATCAGTCAATTGATGGTGAAAGCAGGTATGGTTTGACAAGGTATGGAAAAAAACAAATAACTTCATGATAAGTATCTAAAAATTTATAACAAATCTGATGTTAGATCCCTTGATCACAATAACACTGATCCAATTCGTGATGGTGGAATTTCATGGGTAGTCTTCATGAATGAGTTGATACATTTATTGATCATTTCTCAACATCTGAAACATTTGATCAGTTCCTAAAATGTTTTTTGCCACTTTAACCTCTAAACCAACAAGAATCTTCTTGAACACATGATTACAGAACACTTTTGCAGGCACCCTCCAAGCAACTAGATAGAGGAAAAGATCACACTCTTTGATAAGATTTAGGACATTCAAGTCAATCAGATTCCAAGATTGTGAGACACATAAATATGCAATTCTGGAAAAGGCATAGTGGTTGAGGACAAAACGTACCTTTACAATCACAATTGTAATTATTTAATGAACCAAGATGATTCCTCATGGAAAACAAACAATATATCTATTTCATAGGCTGATCATGGCATGGATTGAAAAACTTACTTTTAAACTGGGATTGAGCATGCTGATAATCAACTCAAAGAGTTTCTTTGTGATCAGATCCTGTCAGTAGACTAAGTCTTGACGCCCATGGTATGTTTAGTGAGAATATTACAGTTCTTTGGTACAATTTTGGGTGCATTGGCATGTACAAGTTTTCTTCAATGTTACCAAATACTTCAAGCTTCAACATACTTACTACACTTTGTTTGTCACTTTTTAAATGTTGTATTGTCCAAATATATCTAAGCACCTCAGTGTATATTGGGACTGTGTGAATTCTTTGTTGGGATCAACTTTTGTCAGGTTGAGGTCACCAAGGGCAGCACCTGCCAAACACAACTAAGTCCCTCTTGGCAAGCAACTCTCAACTACCTGTTTGTCCAAGAGGGACTTGGTTGAGTTTGAGCATATTTGTCCAAAGTGTTGGTATAAATGTATGTACATGAAATTGTGGTTTTCTCCTGCTATTGTGATTGTCATGTGTTTGTGTTATACATGACATGGCGGCGTCAGCTGCTAAAGCGGCGCCTGCCGCAATTTGCTAGTCATAGTATAAGCATGCTCCGCAAATGGGATTGGTAACTGTATCCATGAGAGGGTACTCTTCTGTACAGCCGGCGCATGTCGTAAAATCACTAGAATTCATCCTATCAATAAAAACAAGCATATGAAGGTCAGCCTGATAATATGATATTATAGAACAAAAACAAACAAAATGTGCTCAATAAAAATACATATTTGTGTAAGAAAATGGAGATGACACTCTCGACATTGAGAATCTGTGATGAACCTTTATAAAAGGTGAAAGATAACTCTCAGCCTTGTGCTGACAAGGCACAGCTGACAACAAAGTAAACAAGTGCTAAACTCGAGATAGACAAACCTGAAGAAGGGAACGAGGATGATAGAAGTAATAAAAGACTAGAAAGAGAAACAAGAATGAGATCAAGTAAAAATGTGAGAATAACATTAAACACTTTAGTTTTTAGTAGCGTTGAAAGAACAGTAAAAGATAATGAATTGATTTTCTAATCTTACCTTTCAAATCAATTTCCTCAATGGGGGAAAAAGATTTGAAAGGAGACAGTGGAGGTTTAATAAGAGAATTAACACATGAACAAATTTTTTGCAACCAAAATATGAAACGCAAACAACTAAACACACAATCCCAATACGGTCACCGTCTTCTTAATTTCAC